AGATCAATAAACTACGTTATCTTGAGGCCTCGTTTCAATCCGCCAATACTTTGCCTGTAGCCACGCAGTTCACATACATAGGTAATTTAAATGGCTCCTTTGGTTGTCTTTTTCCAGTCTGTCCTTACATTATCACAACAATGGGATAACTAGGCATCTGAAGGCCCATTTCCACTAAAGAAAAAAATTTCCACGAACAGAAAATTTTCAGAAAATATCTTTGTTAAAAGTTGAAAATTTTCAACAGAAAATTTGTGTCGGTCAATTACATTTTACAAAATTTTGTTTCTGCGGAAAATTTTCCTGAGTGGAAATGAGCAGTTGAGTTATCGGAGAATGTGAATTCTATGTGACAAAGCATAAGCAGTTTGGAGCTGATTAGGTATTTGAGCCTTCCCTTAGTAAAACTGTTTTGTTTTTTTTTATTTCCAGGACTACACTGACAGAGATGTTCAAGTAGTTTCTCGAGGTCGTATTGACGATCTTACTAGTTATGTTAGTGATGATAATACCGAGGGTCACGAAGTAAAGGTAATTAATTTACAATATATAGTTCATCTGGAGCCTTTGTATCCTTCGTTGCGATTTTTCAAGCTTCCTAATATTGGTCATTGATTGGTGTAAATCAACTATATATAAATTTAAATGTCCGTGGTAAATGTTGATGTGAATTGACTGTATACAAAATTTGAAGTGGTATCTCAAATGGTTTTTAATCTACAGCTTATTCAAAGTGTTTGCCTGCTCATAATTCACTTATAGGAAATAATAGTTTACTTCGAAAGTTCATTAAATTTTCTTTATCCTTCCTATTCTGATAAATTGGCATGAAATGACCCCACAGACCAGAATAATGTGTTTCCCACCTCAACAATATTGCTAAATTAGCCATTATTGCTTATGGGTGAACGGTGTATTTCTCTAGACAATTACTTCGTTCTTCCCTGATGCCCCCAAGACGATTAAGAAAGATATCGCTGTTTGGATTATTGTCGTGTCTGCTATTGCTGGAGTTGTTCTTTTAATTATACTTGTTGTTGCATTTAAAATGGTATGTACATGTTTGTGTCTGAATGCAATTCAATATTAGGGCTATAGGCTACATGTCGAATTTCGTTATTACACAGTCGAACATTATTTTTGTTCGTCATCTTATTTTTATTATTGATTATGCGTTTGCTCAAAAAGCTTGGTTTGACTACCACTACCCGCTACCTCTCACAAGTTTAATACGCATTTGATTGGTTAATCTGGAAGAATAAATACATCTGATTGGTTAATGGTATAACTGTAGCGGTAGTGGTTTTCGTAGAAGTTTCGAGTAGTTATTATATACGATTCATGAAAGTCCAAAATGATATTTTTCTCTTTGCTGTTTAAATATAATAAAAAATCTTGGATTCCACAATTCGGAACAGCACCCAAATTAAAGAATTTAGCGGGGTTAAGGATCAGTATTACACCATGGTATTGCGGGCTCAAATTCCTGCTGGCGACCATTCTACGGGCCGAATATAGATTAATTGGTCTGGAAACGGTTTTTTTTGTAATCCGTCGCAAAGTTAAACCATCCTTTGGGAATTCTTGCTTCTTTTATCTGATTCTCATTGGAAATATATTTTTACTAGTGATAAAATATCGTGTTGTCATGGGCATGGCAAACTGACGTAAACGCGAAACGCGTTCAGTTTTGGCCAAATACGAATACATGAGTCAATGTTTGGTAAATATAGGCGATAAGGGTAGCTGCATGCATGCATGTATTTCTAGTTTGTAACTGTGTTCGAAATTTGTCCGGTTTCGTGCATTCCATCAAAACCGATGCATCTAATTGTTTCTTCTCGTTTCAGTGTGGGTTCTTCAACCGTTCGGGAGGGCAACGATACGACTCAGTCCCAGAAAACTAACAGCATTCTAAAAAGAAAACCTGCTCTCCGTTTCTCAAGTTTTGTTCTATAGTTTTCCATATGAGAGAATTGTATACACGGTAAATGTTTTGCTGTGAAAGAGGGTGAGACGACTCTAGGAAATTTAATATTAATGTTCGTCGATAAGGTATAAAATGTTCTCGAATATAGTTTTAACAATTTAAAATAGTGTTAAAGTTTTAGGATTTTTCATAATGTATTTGAGTGTATTTTTCATAGTGTAAATGAGCATAGTTTTAGCAGGGTTGGAGAAAAGAAGATTTTTCCAGAATAAAAATCTCTTTTCTTTTATTAATAAAAGAAGATTTTCAGTAATAAAAGAAGATTTTCGGCATTCGAAAAAAGATACGATGACGTCATGATGTGACGAAATTGTTATCTTATTGTATTTGAATGAAGTTGTTTTCTTATTGTATTTGTGTTATTGTTAGTAACAAAATAAAAAATTCTTGATTTTCAAATGAATATAATATAAAAAAATCAAAAATAAAAGAAGAAATTTGGAAAAAAAATCTTCTTTTATTATAAAAGAAAATAAAAGAAGGAATAATACAAGATTTGCCAACCCTGGTTTTTAGCGCTTTATAAAGTAATTGAATGTAGGAAAACGGGCTTATCCCCGCTAGTTAGCATTGTTAAACGTAGTGATATTAAATAAATATTTTGTAGTTTTTAATTGTAGACTTATTATGAAGTGCAATATTGGTTGCAAAGTGCCATCCATGGTTTAGCTTAATTTATAGGGCATGGTTCAGTTAAGAGCTCGCTATAAGTGGGAGTGGTTAACTTTACATTGTTCACTATATATATATATTTGATCAATTTATTTGCTCACTCCCATGACTGTCAATAATTTGAACACTGCACCATGTGTAGCATAAAGGCTTACTGGACTCGTGTAAATGCAATACTGTATTTTGGACTACTTTGTCAAGGGTTGTAAAAAGGGATCTACGCATAAACCTGGATCTAGGTTTTCCCAAAGTCCGTTTTCCTAGCGAAAAATGAAGGGACGAGGGTTAGGGATGAGAGAGGGAAGACTCTATCGTAATTTTGTCTGCTGCTTGTAATGTATAAAGAATTAGAGAAGTCGACTTGTGGTAATTAAAGTGCCTATGTCATGATTTGGGATTTTAAATATTTTTTTTATCTTTGGTGCATTTTATGAAGAAATGCAATATATCTTTATAAGGAAATGTGCCATCTTCATAGGATTATCAGCCCTCAAAGTTACTGGATATGACATCAAGTCGGGAATTTTATACGCTAGAAACAAAAGAAATTTAATTTGTAATTCCCGGTTTGATGTCATATCCGTACTGCATTTCTTCATAAAATATACCAATGATTACAAATAATAAATTACACAAATCATAACATATGGCGGCGCATGT